ATATATATAAATATTAAGAATGAGGATCTAAGTTAATGCTTCTCTGTGTTAGAGAGGTCACAGCTAAAGTAAAATCCTAGTGATATTGCCTCAGATTTTTACCCGTATTAAAAATAAAAAGTCACGTCAAACTAGTTTAAATCTTTCTACCCAATAATACTCTAAATGCTCTTCTAAGAGTGCATAGTTGTCTTGATTCATCTGGTATCTCAGTGACTATCACAAAAATTTAGAATGATATGATTACTTTTATGCCAGAAAAAAAATTGCTGATAATTGCACTTTGTTACCTTTTCTTACTGAAATGAAACATCACAAGGATGAAAGCAAATTCCTTCCTACACTAATCTTTAAGAGCACCCATTTCTGTGTACGAAACTCTCTCAGCTTTCTTAAATACTGACAGCACTCCTCTGTATCATAAGACAAGTTTCCTAAGTATGAAACGCCAGTGATGCACTAAGGCGTGCTACTCATTAGAGGACTTTCTGAAGACACTGAGGATAGAGTTTAGCAACAGCACATTCGAAATGCCGGCCAAGGTCCCAGAGCCGATCTGGGGTCTCATACACTTTCATCCACTGGTCAGCAATGTCATCATATTGGTAAAGGGAATTTTTTCTGCTGGTTCTGAAGACATGTTCTTCAACAGTCACTTGAGTAGCTCGAACGAATAAATGGAGTTTATTTTGGAAAAGGACCAGTTTAAGGTATGGATTTATGGATTGATCACATGGAAAATCCTTTTTACGAGTCCACTTATTGAGCTCAATATCATAGGCTTCTACAGTAAACATACGTTGATGATTTCCACAGGTTCCAGCTATGTAGTAGATAGAGTCCTTGTATACAGCTGCTAAGCCCTGGATTCTAGGCACAGTCATGGGGGTTAAAAAACCCCAGTAGTCTTTTTGAGGCTCATAGAAGAGGAAAAATTCTCCTAAAAAAAGAAAAGAAAACAAGAATATGTACATTTTCATGTTTGATTTTTTGGCTGTATGTTGTAATTCCAACCTCTTAAGACTAAAGAGCGTAATTTTCCAAATATTTCACTTTCTAAAATATTTCTTTTATAATCTCCAGAGATACATTAATGAGGTTACAAAATACCATAAAACTTTTTTCAATTGCATGATACAATATACAGATAATATCACAGTCAACCTAAATTGGGATGTTCACATTGAAGAGGTGGAAGGAGTTATTACGGACTGATGGCAGAATAACAGTTAAGAGCTTGGCTCCTCGTTCTATCCAATTTTGTGTTATAAAAACATTATTTTAATCCAGCTCTAAAAAAGCATTATTAATGTTCAGCCAATAAGACCAAATGCCACCATAAATTTGTGTGCCAACTATTTAATTAGAAGATAGCACATGGGATTGTTCAGATCTATGTTTATGGTCAATCACGTGCTCACTTGAGTGAGTATTGCTGTAATTATGCAAAGACAAATATTCAACATGAGAAAACACGGCTTTAATAAAATAGAAAACATGCATGGTTTATGGCACTGACTTTGAGGCAGCTTCTATTCTAATTTGACAATAATAAGGTATGCTGAGTCAGAATGCTAATATGATAATGTCAGAAAGAATTAAAGTAGTAAAGATTTACAAGAGTTTTGCTATTTATATATAACATTTGTATAAAATCTTTGTAATAAAAATCTGAACCCTTTATGAGTAGATTAAATGATACTTCAATAGCCACAGATTTTTAAAAAATTAGTACAACATAAACTTTCAACTATGCATGTCAGATTTATTTATGTAAAGAGGCTTGGTTTAGACTAGTAATACCTGATTCTAAATTGGGCCTCTGTTTGAAAATTGTTCTGAACTAGAGTTATTGTTATCTACAAATTCAACTGCCAACTTAATAATAGTGACACTTTACCTTCAATTTTACTTTTAATAGTTTGTTGAGCTCCCAGATTTACTTGTATAAGATCTGCCTTTATTGATTAACTTGTAACAGGATTCTTGATAAAGAAGAATGTGTGCTACTTCTCTACAAATTGCTTATAGAAAACAAAATATGACACATAAAAAATCTGATTCTTAAAATTTAAAGTCCTCTTTAATAAATTAATACCAATGATAAGCAATTAAGAAAATCTCAGGGCCTCAGATTCCTTTTATATTAAATATAACCTTGGATTAAATGATATTCATTTCAGCCCTGAAATTGTATTAATTCATTGCTATTTTGCTTTAG